AAAAAAAAAAAAAAAAAAAAAAAAAAAAAAAAACTAATTCTGGCTTTATTTAGAGCAATTTTTGAATCTAGACGATCGTTCACTTTAAATGCAACTTCACCATGGGAGTACCTTCGCAAGTTTAAATTCAATATACCACAAAATGCTGAGCTAACCAAAGCTCGTGAAATATACGAACAAAGTTTGCTTCTTATACAAGACCACATCCAAAAAGGTACTTTTTGCTTGTTTCTGTTTGTTTCTTTCTGCAAAACAACGGTTGGAGCAAATTTCAAAGGGGAGGAAGCCGATAAGTTTATTAAAGGACTGAACTTCACCATAAGCGACCTGCCTACAAACTTTTCATTCGAATCCGTGCTTGCTGTTTCGCACATACAGACCATCATGGAGCTTTCTGGATGCGTTACCGGACCTTTCCGTAACCCCTGCACTTTAATGTGCTATTACTCCAAATATAGGTTTCCTGAAGCTCCAATATTTCAATAGATTTAACTACACAAGAACATTTTCTACTTTAAACTTTTTTAAACGTTATGAACAATTGTCTACTAGAACATAATTTACCCAATAATTTCTAGAAACAAATGCTGCGAAGTGACAAAAAAGCCTGCTTTATCTTTACTTTTACCGTTTTCAACAACTTTCCAGATCATATGATGGACAATGCAATAATATTGAACATCCATTTTGGGGTGTAGCGCAAACACCGTTTCGAAGAAATCTCCCACCAATTTACGAAAACGGTTTCAATACACCAGTCGGGTGGAGCCCTGATAAATTATACCACGGATTTAAGAAACCAAATCCGAGAACTATATCAATGAAGCTAATCTCTACCAAAGACATAACCCCTCATTTTGGATATACAGCAATGATAAAGCAGTGGGGACAATTTCTTGGTAAAACGAGCTAAGTTTACTACTGTGCATCGAAAAAATTACCGGTAAACCTAGAACCGTAATCAAAAGCAATTTCAATTCTCAACCTGAATTACAGCACATGATATAGAACAGACCGCTCCTGGCCTAGCAAGGCAAACATATATGAAAGGTGCGATTTGTAATCGAACATGTGAAAACCTTGACCCCTGCTATAACGTTCCAATACCTCCAGAAGACCCGAGAATGCAAATGGAGTAGGTTAACTTTGCTTTTTGCAAGTATTTTAAAAACAACACATGAAACCTGTTTTTAAAGGAAAAAACCTGAATTTCCATGTATTGAAATTGAAAGATCTAGCGCAACCTGTGGTTCTGGGCAAACGGGACCAATATACCGTCAACTTACTTATCGAGAACAAATGAATATCGTATGTTAAATTAAAAGTATTAATATGTGACCAAATTACCTTATTTACTTAGATCACTTTACAATATATCAAACCAACAATTTAAACAACACTGACCAAATACAACTTACAGCTTACCGCTTTTATTGATGCATCAAATATCTACGGCAGTTCTGAGGTTGACGCTCTTGATCTACGAGACTTGTTCAGTGATCATGGGCTACTCCGATTCGATATCGTTTCTACAGCACAACAACCATATTTGCCTTTTGAAAGAGAATCGGCGATGGAATGCAGACGTAACAGGTCGCGAGAAAACCCTATCAGTTGCTTCCTGGCAGGCGATTACAGAGCAAATGAACAGGTCAGAACTATTTTAAAAAAATAGATAACTCTAATCTGCACCAAATCTCAAGCAGAGAGACTAGTTCAGAAAAAAAAAGTTGTATACGGTTTAGTTAGCTCTGCTCAGCATGCACACTCTGTGGCTACGAGAACATAACCGTATAGCAGCAAAATTTCTTGAAATAAATCCTCACTGGGATGGCGAAACAATCTACCAAGAAACCAGAAAGCTTATTGGAGCCATTTTTCAATTTATTACTTATGAACACTGGTTGCCGAAAGTTCTGGGACAAGTGAGTCCAGCTGTCTTTGATTTTTGTAAATAAATGTTATCTAGTACTGTTTTATAAAATCTTTTCATAACTACCTTAAACCATCTGTGGCTTTACTGTGTTTTGCCATAGGATGCGTACAAACAACTCATAGGCGAGTATACAGGATATGACCCTGAAGTGAACCCTACCCTCGCCAACAGTTTTTCAGCTGCAGCGCTTCGATTTGGTCACACCCTTGTCAACCCTGTAATTTATCGGCTAGGAAAAGATTTTGAACCAATAAAAGAGGGTAACAATAGATGTAGAAAAGAAAAAAAATTTTAGTGAGGATAAGTTTTCAAATTTTTAAAAATTTGAGGTGAAAATAAAATAAATATTTGAGAGATCACCCGTTCACTAAAAATTCAGCATAATCCTTTTAAGCGCATAAACAGTGCAGTGTCAGATATATATGCGGCGTGATCTCTGTGATTCTGCGGATTTTAATTTGAATTTTCAGGCAATATTCCGCTCCACGAAGCATTTTTCGCTCCAGAACGGCTGCTCTCTGAAGGCGGCATTGATCCACTTCTTAGAGGCCTATTTGGGGCACCAATGAAGCAACCTACAGAACACCAACTTGTCAACAGCGAGCTGACTAACAAACTATTCAGCAGAGTTGAAGACGTATGCTCTCTCAAAAGCCAGTCAAAATTTGTAAACTTTCAGTAAAAATAAAACGAAAATAAAAATGAAGAACTTAATTATCTTCAAAAATATAGCAAAAAGGCATCGTTGATTATTGCAGTCTATGTACGACCTCGCCACCATTAATATTCAACGAGGAAGAGACCACGGGTTACCCGGGTAAGCTACCACTCCCCACTACTGCATCTTTTGAGATAAGCTGACAGAAAAATGAAATTCTCAGAAGAATAACAGGCATTTTTAAAGTTGCCGAAGTACATATGATTTCCTAAATGATTTAGTTATACTGAATTCCGTCGTTGGTGCAATTTCTCTGTTCC